GATTCCGGCTGAAGACGCACTGAGCTGTTTACAGCCCAGACGACTCAGAGTGTGGCTGTCGTAACACCAAGATGCTGACTTGGACAGAAGGCTGCGTTTGTTGTGCCACTTCTGTCAACACGAAGATTTGACATCAAATGAAATTCAAAATCCTTGGTTCTTTTATGTTTTGGTATTACAGTGAGGAAGGTAATGAAACAGCCGACTCTGATTTTCTTTCCTGGAATCTAAATCCTCCTGTGAACACTGAAAACCTCACTGATCATGTTGCCAATGTTTTGCTGTAACATCAATTTATACCTTTTCTTTGACACACAATGCATTTCAAAAGCACAAGCCTGCCTGGAGCTAGATCCAGATGCAAAGTACTGGAGGAGCTTGGTATGAGGCCTTGGCCACGGGTGGTGCACTGATGAGCTCTGTCCCCTCTGATGTGTTCTTCTGTCCCCTCTTTCTTGACAGTTGGGTTATGGAAACGAAGGTTTTTCTTGGCCATAGGAGAGAGAACTGTGTACTGTGAGGGCAACAGACCCACTGCACTGAAGGGTGTGAGAGAGAGAAAACAGGCGAGAGGGAGAGGACTTTGGCTCGGTGACGAGAGTCGGGGCCAGATGAACGTGCTGCAGGGCCCTTATTAACTCTCTGAGCTTTGTGTACAGTCGTCCTGTGCCAGAACATTAGCCAGCCCCATATGCTGCATGGTAATCTGATTAAACACAAGTTAATTTATGAATATGCACCATGTCAGCACAAGACTGGAGTAATGAGGGTCCTGAAACTAGGCTGTGCCACTGCGAGCTCGAGGTCAGGATTACTCCATCTTCCTCCAGACACAGGCGGCTGGATGTAGTGGGAAAATCCATGGAGCTCAGTTTAACCCCAGGCCAGGTTGGAGGCAACACAACACATCTAACCAGGAAGGTACACGAGCATCACCCAGCTGTCTGCCCTGATTCATCTGCAGTTTATTTCCTGCTTTGTTTGTAAAATGTTAGAAAACAGTGAAAAATGTCTCAAATAATTTTCCACATCTGACAAATGTATTGTTCTTTTTTTTATCCAAGACCTTGTGATGTCAGTTTACAGATGTGTAGAGGGAAGTGAGGAGCTCGTTTGACTTTTTTACCAGAGCAAATGAAAACTGAAAACATCATCACAATGTTTGCAAATGAATTCTCTAATGATCAGCTCATCAGTTAATCAGCTACACACTGCAACTCTGAATCTAACAAAGAAACCAGATTCCAATAACTTCCCTCCCTAGCTACAACATTAACCCTTAAGACCCAAGGCTAAAGATGGCCTCCTGGACATAACTAGTGTGAAAGTGACAGACTGGAAGGTCAACTTTCAGCTTATGTCACTTATTTAACTTCACTGTGCAATATAATAGATTCAACAGTGAAAAGAAATCAAAAGGAGAAATTGAATTTTCACACTGTACTAAATAAAACTTGAAACAGCACAGATCCAATCTGGACTCAGGAAAATGAACAAATCAATCTCTGGCAGTTTCCTGTCTGCGGGTTTCGTTCCCTCTTGTGTGAGTCTGGTCTTCAGGTGTCTTCTGGCTTTATAGCAGCACTGTATGCTGGTGTGTGCGTTCCAGTCGTGTAGTTTCAAACTCCTGCAGCTGGGAGATGAGGGAGATGAAGCTGTGATGCCGTCTTGGCTCCTCGTGTAGTGAGCAGTCATCTGGAACAAGCCAGTCACCTCCTGGTCCTGTAGACACCTCTATGATGTCACACACACACATACACACACCTGTTGCCTACCACTGAGTCACACTGGTACAGTTTCTGTGGCTTTAAGCTGTTGGGATGTAACGTGAATTGTGATCAGCAGTAACACGCTATAGTCTGTCCACCTCTAGTGACTGTAGTCATTTCTCTGTGACATGAGCCGAGCGTGCTGACGGCAGAAAGTGCACATCAGGAGGACATTGGGTGGATGGCTGGTAATCAAAACAGGACTTTCCCTCAGGAAACCGTGTTTGGTTCCTGTCTGAAACGGTGCATCTTTATCCACAGCTGTGACCTTGTGTTTAGGGTTTTAAACCAAACCAGGATCTTTTTCTGAACCTCACCGAGTTGTTTGTCATCATCTTAACTGTGTTTATGAGTGTTTCCATGACAACAGAGGTCCGGTAAGCATGCCTGTGTGGCGTGTTGTCGTTGGCAGAGGTGTTTTCATTCCACCCGCCACAACAGGAGCGCTGTCTCAGGAGACGCTGTTGTAGGTTGTGTGGGTCCACCTGTACAGGTTAAAGATTCACTCGTACGCTTGCTGAGCACCTCTAGTGCATGTATTCACACTGAAAAAGATCCCACATAACAAATATTCTCTACATTCATGTGTTGACACAGGGCCGCGGTTCTCGGTGTGTTTCCACCACCTGGAGATCAGTGGGCTCAGCCTGAAGCATGGACATGTGGCAGTGTGGGACAAACTCCTCATTTATCCAGACATCAGTTTTCTGTGCACACTCTCCCTCTGTGCTTGTTTGTCTTGTCACAGTGTGCGATATCACATGCATGATGAGCGGGGACAGTTGGTTTCAGACGGCCCTGGCTCTAAGTCCAAACTGATCCAAACTGAAAAGGTCACATTTCCTTTTATTCAGACAATACATACAACTTGTGTCTGTAAATGCAAATTTGAGTTGCCTGCCTGAACAGCCCTAGTACAGTAGCTGTTAATGGCCGACACTGAACCCAAGAGACAGAGCCAGAGAAGGATGGAAGTCTGAGGAAGGAAAGGGTGGAGGAGAGGAGCGAGATGAAGACGAGGCAGAGTGATGGCTACAGGCGGAGGGAAGCTTCCCTACTGAAGCACTGCTGGGTCTGCAGCCTCCAGCTGAGATGGGTCCACCTCTCGGAGTCGATTACACCCTCTAATTCACAAATCTCATTTGAAAAGACTTCTGAGAGACTATGAAACCAACCTACTGGATGTCACCAAAAGAAGGGGCTAACACCTTATTTTATAGCAGCACTTTTTAAACTTGGCAGCGTATCAGATGCATAAACAAGTGGCTCTGGTCGCTACTAAACTGCACCTGCTCAAAATGTACCTACATGTTGAGGCCAGAGCATCTGCAGAGGCAACAGGAAGTACAATCTGTTAGCTGTACACATAGCCATCACAGCCCGGCCACCTGGAGACTGTGTTTGTTTACATGGTTATTTATTTGCATGTGGAGTGCACCTTAAATGATGCTCACAATTTAGCAACGCTAGTGTAAATGTGCCGGGTAGCTCGACAGCTGATGTGCACATCAGCACAGACACATTTTCACCCCTGAAGAGAACCTGGAGTCTGATTCACAGTGTGACCAGAAAACTCACAGCTTCTGGTTGGGCAGAAAGAAATAACACGTGTAATGTTAGTGCAACCTTGAAGAACACACATAACTTCTGGGTTCACAGCTTACAGTCCAGTTTAAATATAAGGGTCAGGAAGAAAGTGTGTGCTCATCTCCAGGAGGCTGCAATGATTTGTTCTGACTCCTCCACCTCTCAGGATGGCGGTGTACCAAACCGTTTGACCCTGTGTGACTTCTGACTCAAGCCTCGCTTCTTGGATGAGGGTCACTGTGAACACAAACGAAATGCATTTAAGATGCACCAGAGTAAACCATTCTTCTGCCGCTCGGTCCAGTGAAAATCCAGCAGATTTTCTGCCGAGCTGAGAGGAATGAGCCCAAGAGACGCCTGCCTACGCGTCAGCTCCCACCTCCTCCACCCACTCCTCCCCATCCTCGTTGTCTGAAACAGAGCTGGCGGCTTCAGCATACCCACACGTGTGCCGCTGATAGGGTGCTGTGGGTTGTAATCAGACTCCATGTTTAAAACATGACTGCCAAGACGGATGTCGTCCTACACAC